GGACGCATTTCATCAAGAATGTATTTACTACATCCCTCTGCTATCAAGTCTATAATCTGAATTCTACGACTCCATCCATAAGATGTTGCAAAATTTTTCGTAGTATCCCCCATCTCTGCCAACATTTCCACAGGTTTGGGTTTGCATCCGATGTCTATGTTTTCAACAATTATGCCATTTCCTCTGTTTAAAATCAGTCTCCAGTGATCAGTTGCTCCTTCTACACCAAAATGAGGTGAATAAATGAAAAAAAATGAAGATTAGCTAATTAATAAGCATATTTTTAATATAATAAAATTTACTAAAATGGCATGTAGCTATTTCAATATGTTTTACAGTAATTTTGTCAAGTCCTGGCTGAAACTGCAGAGGCATATACCCACAAGAACAGTATAGATAGAAGTCAATTAAAGAGCGATGGTCATCACAAAGCGCATGTTGGGAATGACATGCATTGTATACGTTGCCAAGTCCCATATCGAACAGGATGCGATCTGACTTACCATCACCTTTTATGGTATTGACAATATTAAACAAAATACTATTAGTTGTATATGTCATTAAAACAGATGTAACCATAGCAATTTGTCTATTTTCAGAATGACATGATGAAGGAGAATAAAACTCATTGTTATGAAACTTCAAAAACAAATTATTTAAAATTGGCAATTTCTATTTCACATCATCCTCACCAATTAACAGTTACATATTGTGAATAAATGGCTGGTCCAGTAACAACAGATATTAGATGCAGGGATTTTTTTAAATAAGGAAACAGAGGCGCTGTCATGCTAAAATTCTGATTGACCAGGGATCACATATGGCCACAGTCTTCAACTGTGACCTGTCTGATAGTAATTTTGATTGCTCCATTTTACTTTAGAATTATCAAAAACTCCTACCTTGGTAGGGAGAACGTGCCAGCGTGGCTGAATTGCAGTGCTCCCTCTTCCAATTTTTTTTTTAAGAAAAAAAGGCTGTTAGATGTATTAAATAACTCTTCCAAAACCCAATATACGGTAAAAAATTAAACAGCATATGCTATTCATTCATTTTTTGTATCCAAACTGAATTTCATTTGTCTGGGCTCATGTACAGAGATATAGTAGTATGGTCAAAAAGCAAGATTGCAGGCAGTGAACCATCATTGACCCGATTGTGAAACTAATTGTCATGGACATGTATCATGTATAGTTTGAAGAGAAAACAAGCCATGCATCATTTGTTATCAAATTTAAGATATATAGTTTTGTTTACAGTAAATATAGTAGGAACATAAAGATGTCAGAGATGGATGGATCCAGAAGCTGATGCTTGATTATGATTTTTTAACATTAAAATTTTGAGAGATATTGCTCTGGAACAGCATTAATTAAATCAATTGGCCATTTTGAATCAGATAATCAAACCAATTTTGAATCCCACCGGAAAAACAAAATGATGTGCATTAAGGTCCCATAATGTCCAATTTATGTACATTTTTGTACCAAGTTTCAACAAAATCCATCTGTGAACATCCAAGATCCAGCTCTGGAATGACAGAAATGCTTGATTTCTATGATTTTTCAGCACAAAAATGGCCACCATTCGGCCATTTTGCATCAGATCGTCAAACCAATACAACTGTACATCTACGACATGATGTGTAATGAATATACAAAATTTGAACATAATCATTTGAAGCATGTCAGAGATATGGCACTAGACCTGCATTAATTAAAACAAAATGGCCACCAGTCAGCCATTTTGAATCCGATATGAAAAATAAAATGACATACATCAAGGTCCTATAATTTAATTAAATATAAAAGTTTGAACAAAATCCATCTGTAAACAGCTAAGATCTGGTTCCGGAATACCAAAAATGATTGATTTTGATGATTTTTCAGCACAAAAATGGCTGCCAGTCGGCCAATACAGGCCAAGACGCGCGCACACACACACATACACAGATGCAAGCACAAAGTCAATCCATAAGTCCCTGTTTTCGAACTGTGTCCAAACGGGGACTAAAATGTCAACATTTTGAAATCAAAGAAAGCTTAGAAAGAACTCTCTTGGGCTGAGAGTATTGGAGACACATTAAATATAATTCGAAATTACTTAACTGAAAACTAATTATGCAAATCAGAAAATTAATATGACCAGATTTGAGTGTAAAACTAATGAGGTCTGCGCAATGTAACAGAAAATCTATGTTTCCAAGTTTAATTGAAATGTGATTAGAACCAAAAAATTATGAATTATTATGCTTATTAGGGAATTAATATGAACAGATTTTTACCCCAAACTAATTAGGTTTGTACATTGTCCTAGAGCATCTTTGTACTAAGTTTCATTTAAATTGAATAATTAGTACTTTAGATATCAGTGTGAAACCTTAAAATTGGTTAATTATGCAAATTAGGTAATTAATATGTATAGATTTTAACCCACAATTATTCAGGTCTGTCTATTGTCCTACAGCATCCATGTACATTCATTGATATGTGATGTATAGTACCTGAGATATCAGTGTGAAAGTTGGTTAAATATGCAAATTAGTGATTAATATGCACAAATATTTACCGGAAACTAATTGGGTCTGCATAATTCTAGATTCATTGAAATGTGATG